TCCCTCATAGCGGTAAACCCAGCCAAAGTTGCCTCATTCACTGCCTTGAACTTTTCCTTGGTTTTCAGGTGGCATCTTCCCTCAGATGCACTAGCGTTCAAGGATTCCCCGATAGTCGTTCGATGGGATACAACATTGTAGACAGTTTTTCGTGAAATTCCAAGTGACTTGGCTACGGAGCTCTGAGATGCACCTGGCTGTTTCCGCATTTCCAACAGATTCTGCTTCTCTCTGATCGATAGGCGCTTGCACAGTTTGACGTCAAATGACACTGTCTCCGACCGCTTGCATCGGTGTGACTTCCTCGCTAGGATTATCCAATCAGTGAACAGTGCCATGAACGCGTCACACTAGGTGCAGCGCCATTGGTTGAGTGCGACATTTCAGGGTGGATGGTCAATGGTCGTCCCGAACATCGGTCAACGACCAAGTGAGTAGGTATCAGAAACTGCTACATATGGGGTGCGACATCGCATAGTCAGAAACTACGTTATTAGGTATACGTTTGGTTTGGGTTTTTGAAAAAGTGGGAATATATCGGAAAATGTGGCTTCCTAGGGGTGCGAGATAGCAGGAGACTGACTGTACGAAAAATACATGTGAGTGAATTTCAATGTTTTTTGATGGCTTTTTATATATGAGCCTATTTGTGCTACTCAGCAGTAGTCAGTATCAAATAGCCATTTTAATCACGAAGGGGCCCTTGATTTGGCCCATCAAGATGTGCGCACAGCCATCCAGTGAATGTAATCATGGGTTCATTTCATTTACAGTAACTGGTCCTTCAACCGGTTGTGTGAATAAGGCTACCAGCGACATCGACAATTATAGCGAACAAGCATGTTTTGGTAACTTTGTTCTCTGGCCTTTACAGTTATGTGTGTGTTTATATATGATGTAAAACTCTTGATAGCTTTGTTCGAACGATTGGAATTACCTTCCGATTCGAAATCCATAAAACTCGGCTTTTGCGTCGTCAACATAATTTCAACGTCCAACCATCGAGGGAAGGTGTGAATTTCATCTACTGTCGTTTTTGGCTTGCGTGGAGTTGAGGATTTTTTGAAGGGATAAATGACAAAAGATTATCCCAAGTAGACTGTTAATCCTAATTTCCTGAACTAAAATTACATTATAAGAGGTAATTCAAATGATTTACTCTCTACGTTTTTCCTGTTTTGTTTTGTCATCCTATATTGCGCACACACATTCTCCCAGCATGTGCTTGTTCTTTCCAATAATCTCGTAATGACCGTAACTGTTCATATTATGAGCACCTCCCAATGCTTCGGACTCAGGCGTGTGTGGATTCGCTTTCGAGCATCAATAGAATTATCTTATGCTAATCTTATTTATCCAAGACGGAATTCGATCAATGTGAGTGGGCAAGAAAAATAGGTGTGGTGGCTAGGTGTTCTCTGAGTTCCATCTTTTTCGTTTCGGTTGACATAATGCGGAGAAACGATCCGGAATGCTTGAACCTAGCGCACACATGAATGTCGTTGTAGTGGTCCAGGCCTACTAGAAGACGCATACCCTGGAGAGGCGCGTTATAGTTGTTGGACACCTGCGATCAATCAAATTTGAAAGTTACGTCAATGACGCGCGTACGTGTCAATGCTTCTGATTACACACTATGGGCAGATCGTGCCTGCCAATCCGAGACAGTGCAGTCCAGACAGAAGCAGAATGACGCAAGCAATACTGGAATGCGATTGTTGGAAGCCTGGATAACCAATGATCTTCTTTTGTACACATTATTTAATTGCCCTCATTTCTTCCAATAAAAGAACTACGAACTATTATTCCTGTGGCCTTTTCCTCGCGTCTCAGTCACGCGGTATACTGCGTGCTAGTGCCATTGCGGTTCAGTGCTTCCGTGATCCAGTCCGTGATAGCTGATCCTTGATTCGTGTTCCATAATTCGAATTACGCGTTCCGTGTACCGAGTTCCGTGCGTATTACTACTACTATAATAATTACAGTCTTTCTGGCTTAGATAACGTTGATTTTCTGTTTGAATAGTGAAATAGTCACTTGGTGGGTTTCGAGCCCAAGCACGTACAACTCCAACATTTTTCCGTAGTCCACGTTCTATCAGGTCGGCCACACGGAAAGGTTTGATGTTTTCATATTTCGATCACTTACGCAGTTTACACAAACCGCCAGCTAGCTCTATGCTCGGGCGTATTCCCTTGAAGCTCAGTCGGAATCGATCGGGAGGTTTTTACGACTGAATCGTTTGTTCAAATGGCATAGTCCTGTAAGCTGTTTATGAGACATGTTTTCATTTGGATTGGAAAAATATCGATACTGTCAATGGGAGTCTAATGACTTTAGATTGCAATCATGACTAAATCATAATAGTTCCCTTTGTTGTCTGACTAACCCGGACGTTTCTCAGCCTTTGCTTTGCAGCTAAGTTAAGATGTGGCCAGTGACTAGAAGCAGCCGAACTGATTCGTTCACTGTTATTTACGTGAAATTATTTTCATCATTCAAATAAATACATTCCAGAATATTTCCATTATTTCATTTCTTTGATTTATCTTCTAGCCTGTTCAGATTATATAAAGAAATGATGCAATTTTATCCGTGCTTCTCGCTGACTGATCGCAATATTGTTAACTGCATTCCGGGCGTGTAAGTTGGTTGATATGGCCATCAATCGATTGTCCTCTGGGAGTGAAAGACCAACAATACACGTGTGTGCGAGCGCGCACACTGACCCGGTGGCTCTTGTTAGCATGGTCACGAAAAAAACTGATTTTTTGAGCAGTTGTCATGCGCCAGAGTTAATTATATTTAAATTTTCCTTTACCAAAACTTTTACTTCTGGAAAAGAATGAAACAGGCCGCCTGGATTCCCCCGGTGGCAGCTTTCTGTGTGTAGAGACTGGCAACGAAACTGTTGCAGATAGTCGTTCAATTGCAGTCCCATAACCGAGTACCTTAGAGGGAAAGTATCCCTAGAAGTTATAGGTCCGAGCGTACACTATGCATCCGTGTCGTTGGCTCATTCTCAAACCGACAGATCCAGTTTCATCCTACGTGCTTACCTAGACAATCAAGTAGATGGGCGACGGAGAATGTGATTGAGACAGTCCGCAATAGCACTGCAGTAATTCGGAGAATACTGCGGTCTTTATTGATCTTAGTTTGAATTCTTTGTTGGAAAACTGGTATTCAGTATTGGTACTTGTGGTCTTTAGCCGTCTGGATTTTAAAGACAATGTGTTGCAAGCATAGGTCAGGATAGAACGTGTAGTAACTTTGGTGATATGAAGATTTCTTCGCCTCTCTGAGTCGTTCCCACTTGTAAAAATGCATTTCCTCTTTATGTGCTAGTGATTCGAAGAATGATCTCTTATTTCGCTTCATGATTAAAAAGTATGGTGGGTCTCAAATGTTCGATCGATTGAATCATCATAGTTACACCACCTGGAACCTAGAATTTTCTCGGGGGGAAGTCTAACTTCCCCCCTAGAATTCTTACGGTATGAATTCGAAAAGGGATTGGGACCAAGTGCCAGTATTTCTCTCGATGCTGCTGAAGCCGTGGGGGCAAGAGAACGGACAGAATACGGAAGTATGAATCGTCCATTACCTCCACTGGGGCTTTGGTAACTTTCATTCTGGAATACTCTAAACAGTGGCCAACTCTCTAAATACAGCTCGGTTCTTGGTTAGTAAATGGACGTTTTCTGGCGCTACCATTAAGCACTGTTTGTAACTGTCATTTCACTGGGATCGTTTGGAAATGCATCGTGGGCCCAGATTCGGGCAACGTTTGATGGGCAGAATAGATTCAGACAGTGAACAGAATCCATGTTCGTCAAAACGGTCAACAAACAGGCTGAATGTTTGTCAAGGGCACCTGAGACCTTTATTAGCGTTTCAGCGAGACAGTTTTTCGATGCTTTGTGCTTGCTGCTTTGTTGTGTAGAGCTTTAAGGAACACATTCTAACAAAACGATTGAATGCTGCTGGAGACACTATGTGACATCGCATCCCCATGTTTACTTCGTACATCTCCCAAAAGGGGTAAGTGAAAGAAAATGCACCGGAAACTTATTCCAAACGGCCATTTGACCATACTTGAACCTGTTGCTGATCCTCTGTGAATGAAACTACCTGAGAATAATAAAGTTCCAAAATCAAATGCACTTCATTTTCACCACCTCCAATGCATAGTAAAATTTACCTTTTCCATTACTCGATCGGTAGCAAGGTATGAAATATACGAATCGGAGAACTCGCTGGTGAAGAACCCTTGGGAATAGCGAGAAGTCAAGAACTTCACAATTATTTCTTGTATCTGTGATGAAGAATCTGAACGGAATTTGTGAATAATCAATACCAGAAAAGTTGACAATAAACGAACATCAGACTTTTAACTGTACAGTTTTGAACTGAGAAGTTTGTTCTCTGTCTCCCACCCATTCGTAGCGGGAAGAAAGTGAAACAGTAGTTGTGGAATAGAGCATGGTCACGCTGTTCATCTGAACAAGTGAATGATCTGACCTCACTCCATGTTTGAATCGATCAGATTCCGAGCATTTTGTGCTGTCCCGGACAATTTACAATATCATTCAGTTTGTTTCCTTGTTCTGCGGAAAAGTACTCCAGTGAAATTGAGGGAAAACGGATTTCGGGGAGGGGGGCGTGAGACATGTGAAAGACCTAGAGTGGAAGAATAAATCGCAATCCATTCCCGGAAGAGTGTAAAGCGAGGTTTTTGAGATCAAACTAGACTCATAAAATAGCAAGTGAACTCTGATCCACAGAAATCACACAATCAATGACTAATAATGGTCAGAGAAAGAGTGAGGGAATAGAATGAACAAATGGCGGGCCCGACCAGCAAATGCGTGGGCCTATCTAGAATTGTGAATGACTATGTGCGTCCTCTGTTTGTCTGTCGGTCTGTTGGGCCATTCATCTGTTTGCGAAGAGATCTACTGCAACTTTGATTGACCCATCCACGTGATTTCCCCACATTAACTTTGATCTTCACGCAATATACACGTGGCCAGTAGTGAGCTTTTTGTGGACGTTTTCGGTGACGATGGGGCTGAGAAACTTCCGGTCTCATGTTGATTAGACGTGGAGGCGATCTCTTTGGGTGATTTGACGTTTGGAAGTAGGCCAGAAATGGTGGAATCCGGCTCGTAATTAGTGAACACATGAACTTTTGGAACTGCTAGTTTCGGGGTAGAACCTGATTGATCATCTGTGGGACTGATGGTTTGTGATCCGCTCAATTCGCGGCAGTACTCTAGTGTGGCCATGTACAAGTCTGATCGAAGAAATCGACAGTAGGAATCCTTTTCCATCAGTGCCTGAATACGCTTTTGCGATTGATCGAATGTGTTCCTCGTGACCGATTCCAGTTCCTTTTCCAACTGGATTCGTGTTGTTGAGTCCAAATTGACCTGAATTGGTCGATTAGGGAAGATTAGAGCAAACAAAATTTAACAAAAACTTTGGATAACTATTAGATTCCATCTGAGAACCCATTAATAGACGCAATCAATGGTGGTACAACTGACATTGGACCTTAATCACGAATGAACTGTTGAGTCAAGCCACTACACCCCTTCTTCCCTGGCTTGGGTGACCAAATAGATCAATAAACCAGAACATTGGGCAAACAACAAAAACTAACAAAAGTTTTATGTGATTGTCGACACTCGCTTTTCTCGGTTGTAATTGTGAACGACAGTGACATCTGGCTTTATCCAGGGGATGGAAAACATCCTGGCTTTTATTGAACTGGCTAGAAAGTAGTGTTTATTTGGCCTACGCGGAACGAGAACGTTTGAAACCTCATGTGTATTAATTTCGATTTCCTTTTAAATGCACTTCTTGACTGAATAAAATCTGACTTGGAATTCTATAGTCCTATGATTGTTGAAATAGCATGCGCAATTTAGTTCCGTAAGTCAGTATTATTACCACGCAGGAGATGTGTTCTCACGGCCAACTCTATATAGACTCAAATGGTCAAAGGAAGCGAATAATCAGGACTCACAAGCTCAGTTGACAGGCGAAACAATTACTGTATGTAATAGCTAGTTTGGAAATGAGTGTAATTTGCTCTGGGATTCACGCTCATCGATAAAATGACATATAGTCTTACAAAATAGATGTTTCCTACCGACAGGTTTCAAATTGATGTGAACGATTACGAAAAGTTAAAAAAGGGAAATTAAGTATCCACTGTGCACTTAAAATAACCTAGAGAGAATATCTTACAGTTGTTATCACCAATGTTATTGTTTTTAATTCTTATTCATTCTTATTTTTAATTATAATACAATGGTTATCGGAGTCGGAGAGAGTCAGAGAGTGATTCACTCATGAGTGATGTGAACCCAGAAATTATTCCCGCCTTTCCAGATCCTCAGTGATCTTTTTCTACTTCCAGAATATGCCCATTATGACATGAGAACACACTAACAGAAGCGAACAGTTGTTTGCATTGATTCATCTTTTAGCTTGTCCAGATCATATTACGTGTTAAAGAGGGATAAATATGCAGTCGTTCAAAGGTTGCAGTGATTGGCTGAGAGGGCTTTTGGTGAGTGGTGTGACATGTTTCATCCCATGTTTCACCCGTTCAAAGCGTTGCGTCTCCACATCCCACCCACTGAGGAAGCGATCAGTATTCTTACGTTCACACCCTATCTATGCGCACAAAAGTGATTGGTCCATACCATTCAAATGTCGTGAGTGAAGATCGATTACACACGGATGACGCATCACAAAGTGATTGCAGTGTTTTGGTGACCCAGTGGTGTGAAACACGTCGCACCACTCACTCACCCCATATCCCTCACCCCCATAACCAATCGCTGTGACCTTGGAGCGATTAAACGTCTATCCATCATTTAGCATTTTATTTCCCCATATATGATCTTGAATTGATCGTGACTAGCTACTGGAGAATAACTATTCTTTTTTAGTAAACAAAACCAAGATTAAGAAGAGAAGCCAGTTTTCGCTGCTTCCGCGCTGCGAAGTTTGTGTAGGGTTTGAGAATGATATCATTATTCTACACCCCGATAAAGGGTCTGGTACAGTGTTACTTAACCAAACAGATTGTGTGCACAAAATATCTTCATCGCTGCCGAACTCTTCTGCTATAGCTCGTTGACTGAACGCTAATTGATTCCTCTAAAGTGGTGGCGCGAATTCGTGTCGAACGCATGAAGGTAAAATTAAGCAAAAATGGAAACTTCCATGATAGATCTGTTCGATATGTAAGCACACTGACCGTGAGTCCGAGATTTATTCATTAGTAACTACAGCCAAACGACGATAACCTTTTCAACTATTTTCACGCACGCAGATGTTGATTCCCTTGGTTGATGGTGTTGTACCATAAAAAATAGATCGGAGTGCACAACAAATGCAGTCCCCAAGCATTTCAAAAACGAATTTGTACAAATGGTCAGTCAGTACCGATTCATGTGCCCCAAAAATGGAAAAATAGCACAATGTGAAGTTCAGTTCGCAGGGCATCGAGGAAAGGCATTCCTTTCACCCGCTGAGCATCGTACGCGAAAGAACAAAATAAAATGGGTGTGAGATTACCTCTCTTTTTGACTGGACCGCGACAAATTCGTTGAAAATTTTTTGTGCTTTGCTCTGCAACTTTTTGGTTCCACAACTGTTGCGAAAATCCTCACAAGTCAGCCAGAATTCGATATTCTCATCGCTGAATTCTGTCCGGAGAAATTCACGAAATACGAGAATTCCGGCTGATTGGATTTGCCATGGTCCAAAAATGTGTTCGAGCCAAAACAGAATTAATTTGACAGTTGGGGGCAACATCGGGTAGCGGAAGATTAGAGGATGCTTTTGGAAATACATAAAATAAATGTCTTATCTACAAGACACATTGCACGATTTAATCGTCACTTTCACGGAATTTAATTCAAAACAAACACAGGGTAGGGTGATGTCTATCTATCTATCTATCTATCTATCTATCTATCTATCTATCTATCTATCTATCTATAGTCCATCGATTGTTTATCTATCTATATATCTATGCATATTTCTGTCTATCTATGCTATAAATCTATCTATCTATCTATGTATCTGAATATCTATCTAACTATCTGTCTATTTATCTATATGTCTATCTATCTATCTATCTATCTATCTGTCTATCTATCTTTCTAGTGATATATCCATCCAAATCTATCTATCTATCTATGTATCTGAATATCTATCTAACTATCTGTCTATTTATCTATATGTCTATTTATCTATTTATCTATCTATCTATCTATCTATCTATCTATCTATCTCTCTATTTACCAATCAATCAATTAACCAATCAATCAATCAATCAATCAATCAATCAATCAATCAATCAATCAATCAATCATATCTATCTATCTATCTATCTATCTATCTATCTATCTATCTATCAATTTATCTATCCGTGTCTATCTATATATCTACCTATCTATCTGTCGATCTACCTATCTGTCTATTTATCTATGGTCCATCGATTGTTTATCTATCTATATATCTATGCATATTTCTGTCTATCTATGCTATAAATCTATCTATCTATCTATGTATCTGAATATCTATCTAACTATCTGTCTATTTATCTATATGTCTATCTATCTATCTATCTATCTATCTGTCTATCTATCTTTCTAGTGATATATCCATCTATCTATCTATCTATCTATCTATCTATCTATCTATCTATCTATCTATCTATCTATCTATCTATTTATACGTCTATATATCTAAATGTAAATTTGCGATTCCACTGTTCACTTAAAAAGAGATTTAGGGTCATTCTTACTTTACAACATTTGTCGATCAGCTGCAATACTGGAACTCATAGAAGGAACTCATTAGTAGTATACACTAAAATAATAAGATATACGGATCAGCTGATTCAAAANAGGTAGATGGAATCCTCTGTATTCACACGAGTTGCATTTCTTTAACTAAAACCAAAGTAGTTGGGCATTTAATCTCGTTAGATGTGGGGTTGGGCTAATATTGCCTCAGTGGACGTGGATGAATGTTGCTTTCATTTTTTTTACCATCATGTACCCTATCCGGTTTTCTAATTAGTTTTAATAATGAGGGCGTTTTATCGATATCTCGTCTCGCATTTTAGTTGTTGGATGATAATGCACGCATGCATTTGACTGCGTCTACTTGACCCTACTATCTACAGGATAGAGTATAGAGCTAAAGATGCTTTCTTTACAGTCTGTTGAGATTGCTGCACAAGAAGGAAGTCGGCAGTACACAGATTAGGTATCCGGTTTTGGACACTGAAGCCAACACGATCCGTAGGTTCAGTAAATTTTCTCCCTGATAGCCTCCCACAACCGCCGTCTAAGTTTTGTAATATTTAATGTATGATTGCACTTTGATAGTCCAGTTCTGTCATCCTACAGATTGTGTGTTACTGTGCATATATAATAGAAAAATATATAAGCAACGAAAAAGAATAAGATACTGGCATTTTTAATATTCGGGAGAATGTCCCATACAATCAACCACTGATCAGTCTGATTTAACTCCCTCTAAGCTGACTCCGATGGAGCTAATCCGACGAGTTTCACGTAACCGGTGAAATTGCAGCTGGCGTTTTGGGTTTATACTTTGCGTTTGAATTACTTTTCTTTCACTGTGCTATCCCTTGGATGCTTTTTTAATGGTACCTTACGTGGTCCGGAAACAATCCACTGTAAATGAGTCGAGTTACATTTTTCACATTTTTAATTGTCATCGGAAGTTTGAAGAATAGAATAATTTCCTGCCAAAACGCTTTTGCTGCACTGTTCAACCCACCAAATTAACTATAATACAGTGCGATTACTCCATCGTTTCACATCGTCCCGTCCCTTTCACACATGACCCGAAACACTTAAAGTCGCTTCGACCCTCCCCGCGATATGATTGCATCTTATTACGTGATTTACGCAACATGGGTTCCCTCAATCTGACACGAGACTGTCTAATCACCCGTTCGTAATGTTTGCGATGCTCTTGTGTTGCCACTTGTAATCCAGCCGTGGTGCGGTGATGGCACTCCAACTGGGCAGAGTTGAAGTTCCCTGGGGCATGCTGAGGACAGGCGGGCGTGGAAAATGTGCGATTTCTCGCTCCGGTTAGCTGGGCAAGCAGCACATCACTTGTTGCAGCTGAACAATACAACCGACTGATGACAGACAAAGGAAATCATAAAAACCATAAACAAAACCACTTTTGCCTTATTGTTATCCTATATTAGTGGATATTAGAGCGATCGTTGATTTTTAATATGATATCGGTTTTCCGGACCCGCTTAGAAAAATATAGCCTGTATCTAAGACCAGTCAAGTGTTGGCGTAATGTTATCATCGCAAACGATTCATAACCTATCCTCGTGTGCAGGTTCGACAATCACACGATCGATCGGGTTCAGTCATCGATTGGTTCAGCTGCTATAAAGGATCTGATGCTTGTCCAGCTAACCCCCTAGCAAGAAACCACATCTTGTCCACAGCCGCGTGCCCAGTGAACTTTGACCGTGCACAGCTAGATTACAGGTGATAACAACAACACCACAAGCATTACAATCAGGTGATCAGACAGTCTTGGGTCCGAATGAAGGTTTCCAAATCGCGAAAAGTGATCAAATCATATGGTGGGGAGGGTCAGAGGGACTTTGATTGTTTCGGATCATGGGTGAGAGGGACAAGACAATGTGAAACCGTGGCTCAATCACACTGTGTGAACTACAGTTTAAATGTTTACTCAGCAACTATTTGCTCAGTTTATTGCATAGATAACTAACTAATGCCTATGAAGCAAGCCACAGTTATCTAAAAGGTCAAGTGAATAATTTTTCGCATTTCATATAGAAATGAAAGAATCCGGTTCACATATATTGCACGTTTTCAAGCTGAAAGACGATCATCTGTGTCATATTATTGTACCAGCCCTCGTCGTCAATTTGTTTTATTGCACATTTCGTTGTGTAAAGAAAATCTGAAAACAAAGAATAGAAAGTGTCACATAGAGATATGGGCGATTGTTCTTATGACCATGGTAACAGAGGCGCTTGAATCAGATTACGTTGCTTGCACAACTCTGGCTTCATGATCCTAATTGACATATATTCCTGAGTTAGGATCTTCTTACGTAATCCTTTGGTGTGGTGCAGTGAAGAACCTTGTCAATGCTCAGAATATCAGACAAACAACGAGGCGTCCGTCTATGGGAATGTCAGAACATTGTCCGGTAGCGTTTCGAAAAGGAACAGTGAGAGACTCGAACAGTTCAATCCTGCAACATTTGATCGACAGTGGACACAGGATTGATTATTTTGTTTCCATTTCGTATATTATTATGATATCTAGATGCTTGTCATGTGGATTAAAAAAGCAGAACTGGTTCAGAAGACGCCGGCTTGAGAAAAAACGTTGGACAGGATTTGTAACATCCATCTACTGCCTCAATAAAATAAATATTCGGAGTGAGCTCAATCATGCATCCTCATCCCAACAACACCTTAGCTGTGTTTGTGACAGAAGGTGTTTTATAGGCCTAGGCGTATATTTCGATGTATCTTTCATTTCAACTTTTTTTCCTTACTGAACCACTCAAGGGAGGAGGCCATCGGGTAGAAGTATCACTTTACCCGAATCACGGACCCAAGGTCTGAGCAACCAACAAAGGATTTCCGAGTGGAAGTGCAAGGTGTGGAGGTGTATTCATTATAAAACAATTTTGGACAAAAACCAGAAGAAGTAGTGGTGAATAAGTCTGATATTGGTTTTGCATGGACGCTACTCATACCAAGTTACAACTTGGAATGTCGGAAACGAAGGCAAACAGGGAAGATGTTAACTGATTAGCGTATCCCAGTTTCCGGGCACTAGAATAGTATTTGGAATGCCTTCAGTAAACGAGTAAGCTTAGCTGACAGTATTTCTGTAGTTACCCTGGTCAGACGCTGAAACTACGGGCCGTCGACCGTGGAACTCGATGGTGGAGATTCAGCGGCTATCCTGTGACAAATTTTCACGTACTACTTACAGGTGTCAACTCCAGTGAAACAGCTTTTTCCTGATACTTTCGATCGTTACAACGAAATTCGAAGGCACGCCTTTGTTCTCCAAAGAATACAAATCATAAAACCAAAAAAGGTGACACTTTGCAGTAGTCTCGGGGCCGTAAACTATCAACGAGCTTGAGAAAAATGATCATATGCAACTTGACTACTCACGAGTAACGTAAAAACAACGCCATTGTGCAACGACAGATGAACAGGGCAGAACAAACTGAACAAAAATTGAGATTTATCTTCGGTTAAATTTAATAAAGTACTTTAGATTCCGAACATTTTTAAAACTCTGTTTCTGTACCAAAAAGTCAGTTCGTTTGACCTTATACTCGAAAAGCACTATTGACTGGAGCCACGCTTTCATCAAGGCTCGCCCATAAACACAGATGGCCGCAAAATTGGTTTGATAAAATACTGTCAGCAAACTATTTTATCTCGGGAAGTTAAATATGGTCACTGGTGAAATGTGCTGATACACAATTTTTCGTCAACTGTAAATTAAGTCATTTATCTAACGGTTACGACAAATGTGGTTCTAGAAAAAATGCACTTTCGCTGAATATTGGACTTCGTTGTCTCACCCAGATGTTATTTTTTTTACCTTCTAGACTATCCAGATTTTGAAGGTGGAATTCATATGGCTTCGCCTCAAAGAGAATCCAAAACATACATGCAGAAGTGAAAGGAACAAACTCGCACTCAGTCTAATTTTGGATGCCGAAATCAGATACGTCATAGAGAACCACTAAACCAAAGCTGACATTACAGCTCTGGT